CATTTTTTCACCTACCCTGATAATTTCATGACCTAAATGACTTTTGACCTGTGACTTATTTCTCGAGACCACGGAATCGCGATTTGGGGCATGTCGGCTCGATCCGTGCGTTTCCATTCTTTTTGTGGTTGTAAACGTTCAAACATGTGAAATGATGTTGGTCCCATGTATTATGGTGGGTGTCAAGCCTCAAGGTCACGTGAAGCTCAGGTGAAGGTCATTGACCTTAAATGACCTTGATTCACTTGTCGAGTTTTACATGCTTCCATCGTAGCCTTGGGGGCTGATTTCAAATTTAGAACTCATTTAAACACTTAAGAAGTAGTCTTGATGTCTATGGAACATACCTATTAGGAAGATGTCAATAGTGGTTGACACCTGACCTACTATGGATAGCTGGTAGGATATCTAGGGCAGGCTGGTTGATCTGACCTAGACCTGATGCGACCGATCTCAAATACATGAATACCCCATCTCTGATCAAAACTAGCATGAAATTCGTAATCAGCATTCCGAAAACCCTTATAATACTTATTCACTGAAGTTTAACACGTCCGATGTTCCTGACTTTTGGGTCGTTGACCTCACCGGGAATGTCAAACAGTGGCACGGGACCTCAGCGGGGGGCGCATTGTAGAAAACGCGACATTTTTCTACTGGTGCCATTTTTTGAAGCAGTGGTAAGACCTGCTTGTTACCGGAGGGGCTGATGTGACGACCTCTGATTGACAAGTGACCGAGACGTCAAAACCTGTCTGCGATGGCCGGGAATCGAACCCGGGTCAACTGCTTGGAAGGCAGCTATGCTCACCACTATACCACCATCGCACGTTGTGAACATTTTGTCTCACTCACGCGGACTGGGGCGACTTTTTGTGGAGTCACGTTTTTCGTGACGTGTCCGTTGGGACGCTGAAACATACTAAGCCAAAGAACAGTTGTCCATCGTTTTATCCTCATGACTTTTCTCTCCCCGAGACTGGCAACTGAAAGGGAGGGGACATTGGACATAGGGGTCATAACACCATGTAACCCTCGCCGGGCCTTGGGGGAGGGGGGGGGGCAACTCCTTCGCCGTTCCGCTCCTATTGAGCTAGAGCTTGGCGAAAAGGAAAATACACGCGTGTGCGCCCATACGAGACGCAGCCAATGGCCCCCAATATAAGGTTTCAGGTCAGCAGGTGACCACTGAGGTCAGAGGCCAGTTTTACCAACAGAAAAATAGCCGCCTGCCGGAAGTTTTTGCCCAAAGACCGCTTCACATACGGAGCGTAAACGCGATGGGCACGTAAGCGGATAGGGCTTTGCCGTTTACGCTCCGTTATGTGAAGCGGTCTTTAGGCAAAAAATTCCGGCATGCGGCTATTTTTTTTTTTTTTGGGTAAAACTGGCCTCAGATCAAACACCTGAGGTGGGGGTTCGGTTTGAGGAGAAAAGCTTTGTCAAAAGTGGTCGCAGCGCTGTGATTATGCCACCATCGTGTTTGTCATGCTAAGGCGCGTCGAATGAGGCGCTTCTTGTTTTGGAAAGGTCTTGAGGGTGTTAGGTAGAACTGGCCACTGGGTCAAGGTCATGTCACACCCGTTCAGGTCACGACCCTGGTTGAATGAGATCATGTATAATCATATTCGCTTCAAGTTCAAGTTCAAGTTCGGTGTATTGAGGACATTTCCACATAGTGGCTTAATATTTAGTCCGAGTCAGAGTACATAGATAAAAACATGACACAGTCAATATCACAGTAAATCACAATCAAGAGATAGGTATATAAAAACACGGTCCAGAGTCGGACAAACCAGACCCTCGACTAGTTCGACAGCCGGCGCAGAAACTCGGCGCGGGTTACAGAGCCGGTGACAGCCGGCGACAGGCGGTTCCACGCCGCGGCCGCTCGGTAAGAAAACGCGCGGCGTGACGCGGACAGGCGGTATGGAGGCAGCTCGAGAGCGCCCGCCTCAGTCGACCGGGTGCTGCGCCGGGAAACCGCTGTACGAGGGACGAACAGGGAGCGGATCGCCGCGGGAGCGTGCGGGTCCCTCAGCGCCCTGTAGACGCCGAGGCAGTCACTGCGCACGGTTCGTCGGAAGGTCATCTCAGGCTCAAAAGAAACGGTATATACCATTCGAAAGCTGACAGTGAGCTGAATCCAAAAATGTATTTTTTATCAAAATCGATCGATGGCCTTTTTTGAAAATTGCGTTTTTTTAAAACTTAATAATCTTTTATTCAACGGGCTGTCCCGGACATTCTTGAAAACATAAACATGTACTTTTGAGTTCCAGTGAAAGCTGAACGCCAAAAGAACAATATTTAGCGAAGCAATATTTCCAAACATTAATATGCGTCTCCCACAGCCGACAATAAGGCGCAATCACACATCTCAGTGTCACGATGGACCAAAGTCAGCCACACAGAAGCGTGAAATGACCCTTATCGACTCGCAGACCCGTCGCTCTCGGCCCGCCTGACCGGCCACGGAAAGAACGTTCGGCTCTCGTTCTACTAAACAAATGTAATATTTGCCACTTTAACTGTCCACATCGCTATTAAAGTTACTCAGGATACCTGTGAAGAAAATTCATTGTTCTGCTTGATTTACAACATGCTTTAATTTACATTTTTCTTATACATGTTTTGTTCCATCCAGCTGCGATCAGTGCCTGCGCAGGGGAAGTGAGCGGGGTTTCACTGTCAGAGGCTGTACTGGTGACAGCTGTTCGGCCGTGCGACCGGTCAAAGGTTACCCTGCCCCGCCGGGCGCTACCCCCACTCCACCCGAGCTGAGGCCGGTGCAGCCTCTGACATTTCAGCGCGGTCAATTTTCCTTATATGGGCATGATACCAAGCTCAATTGAGCAAAGTAGACATGAACAGATGCAAATTAATGCATGATGCGAAGATGACAGAACAATGAATTTTCTTCACGGGTATCCTGAATAGCTTTAATAGCGATGTGGACAGTTAAACTGACAACTTTGACATTTGTTTAGTAGAACGAGAGCCGAACGTTCTTTCCGTGGCCGGTCAGGCGGGCCGAGAGCGCCGGGTCTGCGAGTCGATAAGGGTCATTTCACGCTTCTGTGTGGCTGACTTTGGTCCATCGTGACACTGAGCTGTGTGATTGCGCCTTATTTTCGGCTGTGAGAGACGCATATTAATGTTTGGAAATATTGCATCGCTAAATATTGTTCTTTTGGCGTTCAGCTTTCACTGGAACTCAAAAATACATGTTTATGTTTTCAAGAATGTTCGGGACAGCCCGTTGAATAAAAGATTATTAAGTTTTTAGAAAAACGCAATTTTCAAAAAAGGCCATCGATCGATTTTGATAAAAAATACATTTTTGGATTCAGCTCACCGTAAGCTTTCGAATGGTATACATCGTTTCTTTTGAGCCTGAGATGACCTTCCGACGAACCGTGGGCGCTCAACCAGCTCGCGCACGTCACACCAGCCCAGCGCAGCTAGGATCGGCGATATATGGTCATGCTTGCGCACGCCAGAGACAACCCTCGCACCAAAATTCATCGCCTTCTGCACACGGTGAAGGTGGCATGCAGCGGCGCCACCCCAGACAGAGAGGCAGTACAGGATGTGAGGAAAGGTATGACACTGGATAAGGAGCTTAAGGATGTCGGGACTAAGATGATGGCGAATTTTATACAGAGATATAAGGATGGAATTGCACTTTTTGACAACGTTGGAGATGTGCATTTCCCAGGATAAGGTGGGGTCTAGGGTCACTCCCAGCATCTTCACAAATGGCGAGGGTGTTAGTAAGTAGTCTGGCAGGTTAAGGTGGAAGGATGAGGTTTTCTTAAGGTTTTGGGCAGTGCCGACAAGGAGCAGAGTGGTCTTGGATGGGTTCATTTTTAAGGAGTTGGATGTGAAGTAGGAGAGGACAGCACGGAGGGTATCCTCCTGTCGGGATTTAAGGATGGATAGGTCTTTAGGACGGGCCGAGTCAAGTAATTGGGTGTCGTCGGCGTAGGAGATGAGGCGACCGTGAGGAAGATAGGATGGAAGGTCATTTGTGAAGATGCTGAAGAGGATGGGACCGACTAGGGAACCTTGCGGAACCCCATGGGAAAGAGGCAAGGACAAGGAACCACCTCTCACCACCTGCCGTCGACCAGTCAGGTAGCTACGAAACCATCTAGGATCAATACCATACCAGCACAGCTTTCTAAGCAGAACGTCATGGTCAACACTGTCAAACGCCCGGCTCAAGTCGATGGACGTGACGGCGACAACATCGCCATCGTCGACACGCCGCGTCATCCACTCCACCGCGTCGATCAGCGCGTCCTCCGTTGAGTGTCTAGATCGGTAAGCATACTGTGACGGAGCTAAAAGGTGACAGCGAGCTTCGGCAGGTCTTCTTGACTTCATTGGTGTCCTTCCCAACTTGCAAGCTCAGTTTGATCGGGAGTCAATTACGAGACACGAATACTCTTTGTGACGTCATATGAGGCGTCACGCAAAAATTATGCATCAAATCTTGCTAGAGGTGTATGAAGTTACGATATCTTTGATTCAAGCCGATTCCTGTAGACTGTAACGTTGGGTAGGCTGACTTTCCAGGAACTTCAACTATGGAGTAGGAGAGGAACACGGGGTCTTTGGAACTGCGACGGCGCACCGACAGTAGCACCGGACGGCCACTGGGAGACGTAAGGTTTTCGCAATGTCTTCTCCTTCTCAATATGAAATAGGGACCGACATTCGAAGGTATTGGAATGTGCTAAGGCTTGTGAGAGTTTATTATATGTGTGATAATGGATTGCATTGACCGTCGAATGTCGTGCTGTTATTTAGAATCTTGGTCAAGACTGTTGAGTTCTGGTTGAATGTGAGCGGAATATGGGCTGTCTTAGAGACATCTATTGCAATGATTCTTATGTTCATGTTTTTGTGTTTGCTCCATCTTAAAGCAGCTGTTCTCGTCTCATTATCATATCGCTTTGATAACTGTCGCGCACTATGTGCTTCAAATAATGTTCAACACACACGTATTTATTAGTTTCCATACAAGATTTGTGACAATATAAACAATATTATACAGCACAAACGTCACTTAGTCATGCGAAAGCACCAATTGTCAGTCACGCTTAGCTTATATCCGAAATTATTAGATTCATATTCAGTCCATACACGTTAGGTTTTGGAGTTAATGTCAGATTTCACGTTGAAATATTCAAGACTGCAACATTCAGGCATCGGTCAAGCATTAAGCGGCACTTGGTCTCCTAGAACATCACAAACGTTTGGACGGAATTGTTCACATGTCATGCGCAAGTAGAACGCCGTGATTGTTACTTTATTTCACATACGAGGCTGGAACGCTCCCCAGTCTTGCACCCAAAACGACACAACGAACGGGTGTCACATTGCTAGTCTGTACTCGTATCTTCTCAGTAAAACTTTCCAAGCCACAACAATCGACGTAACCCAGCCTCTCGCCTCAAACGGTACGGTCACACAAACCCACAGTGGCGCGTTCACACTCACAGCCGCAGTCGGACTCCACAGGAGCCGATCTGCGGCCTGAGGCTGCCTTTGTCCACCTGTGGCTGCCCCTGTTCACTCACAGAGACCCCTCAGGCAGCAGCCGCCAGTTTGCCAGGCCTGTGATCGGCACATGCGAGTGCTGAGTACGTCTCTCCCGCCGCCACGGCGCGGATACCCAGTCTCAGTGTCGAACTGAGGTCCAGAGCAGGCAGCAGCGCCTTTGTCCGCTGCGGGTTGCGGATCGACAGCTGCAGCTGGCTGTCGACGAAAATCTGCCGCGGGGAGAGAAGGCGGAAGGTCAAACAGAACCAGGAGAGAGATAGGGGGGAGCAGCAGAATAAGGAGGCGTATTAGGAACGCAGCAAACTATGACTGCAGTCTGCAATCGAAATCGAACGGTGATATCTTACAAATTTTGTTATGGTGTATGTGTCCTTGAGAAAGTTGCAACGGTACGGCAATTTTTCTATTATGAGAGATAATTAACAGCCGTACATATGCTGTCAGCTGTAAACTCGTCATTAGGAAGCTTATCAGATAAAGCCGACGGTATGGTTAGTCGTGATTCTTCCTATTTTAGAACGATTCGCTAGCTAAGCTAGATAATGAAAGCCTAGAAATATGGTGTGATCTATGAAGAACTGACTCATGTCCACGCTTACCTGGTAGCCGGTGATGCGCGGGTCCTCCACGGGGCTCCAGTACAGAAGAAGACTGTCACCGCCGACGGCTCGCACTATCTGGAATCCGTCGGGCGGAGGCAGCAGGCCGTCCGGACTGGGCGGCCGGTGGGGGCGAGGCGCCGGCGACCACTCCCTCGCCGAGCTAGTTGCCGGAGAGCTCTCCCGGGCTGGCGCCGGCGAGCACTCCCGGGTCAGGGACGGCGCCGGGGACCACTCCCGCTGGGAGGGGGTAGGTGGCGCCACCGGGCCGAGACCGGGCGAGGAGGCCGAGCGGTAGGGCCGCGCCACGCCGACAGGTGGCAGCACCGGAGGGCCCGAGGACCGGCCCGGGGTGGCTCGCCGGGGCAGCGGTACCTTGGACGGCGGAGACCTCTGTCGGAGGAAGGGGGGGGGGGGGGCGTCATCGATATGAACTGTGGCGGGGCAGCAGGCATCGATAGGTTTACCTACTCAGGGCATTGATCTTCCAGCTTTCAAATGGCTTAGACAATATTTTCGAACAGTTTATTTTAATTTATTTCTCCGTGTTGTTTTGATTATTTGATCTAGTAGATAACCATGTGCTACCAATCGGTTGAACATTCCATTGGTAATTTATATCATTTCATAATTCACGTTATCAACGGGAAATCCTGGCCGTCTTACCTTTCTTGATGCTGAGTTTTCCGACGGGCTAGTCTCGTTTGGTTTGTTGAACAGCCGAGGAATACGAGACGAAGCTTTGGAGTTTGGAGAGTTCTCCAGAGATTCTAATGATCGTTCTGATGACTTTTCCACTGGAGGGGTCTTACCGCGAGTCTGGAAATGAAAAGGAACACACTTGATGCGCGAGTTGCATTTGCAAGAATGAAGGTTTAAGTATCATTTACAAGAGGTACGCGTCGTAAACGTTCGTTCCGTTGCCAAGGTCCGCCTAGAAAGGTACCATTGAGCATAGAACTAAGGTACTTTTTTGGATAATACCTTAGCCGTCTCGTGGCCAACCGTGCCCCCTCTCACCGGTTCAGTCCGAGTGGTCTGCTGCAGCACTTGACACACCACGTCCAGGTCGAAGCTCTGCCGGTCCGCCTCCCCATCGCCCGCCTCTCGCAGCTCGGCGGCCAGCCGCGCCGCCTGTTGGGGCGTCAGCACGCGCCGCAGCCGGCGCAGCAGCGCGCCCAGCAGTCGGTCCTTGGCCTCAGCCACGGCGCCGCCCTGGGCCGCCTGCTGCGCCAGCCGGCGGCGCAGCTGCCGCTGCTGCTGCGCCAGCTGCTCCCGCAGCAGACGCAGCTCGCAGCCGCGCGCCTCCAGCTCCTCCGTCTTCAGCTCCAGCTCCTGTTTGCTGAGCTCGAGCTGCTGCTGGTTCAGCTCCAGCGTCTCCTGTAGCTCCGGTAATTGCGCGGCGGCTGCTGCTGACGGCGACAGTGGCGCCGTCTGGACGCCGGTGCTGACACCTGGCAGCGGCGCCGAGAGACGAGCCGTGGCCGCTGCCAGCGCTTCGGCGTCTGTTGGGAGATGTGGTGTCACTTGTCAGTCAGGGGTCGATTCTCAATTACTTTCTGAAAAATTCAACAGTAAGGCAGAGTAAAAAACAGATTGTATGGCGCAAGCTAACTAGACCGTCAAAACGGTCGAAATGCGACCACCTCATATGTCGATGGAATGAAATGCTTAGCACGTTGGCACACCGTTTGTCAAAACTTAAAGTAAAGCCCTGATGTTGTTAGCAGTCTGCTGTGCGGCCACCGTACCTCTGAGCTGCGCCTGTAGGGACTGGTCGGCCGAGGCTCCGCTGATGAGCAGAATCACCTGCTCCAGACTGATCATCACAGCGGCCAGCACGCCGTCCGCCGAGCGGCGGCACGAGTCGCAGCTCTGCCGATGTTCAGAGTGGGGTTAACAAGGTGACAGAGACGTATTACAGGAGATAATAGAGTTTTTGACACAAAGTTTGTATTCTCATAGTCGCTAGATGTGAGAAGGGGGATGAAAAATGGTTGAGTGAGTATGAATTACCAGAGACCCGCATACGAGACACAGTATCCTCAGTCCGACGCGTCATGAGACCAGAACCGCCACGCTGGTCGCAGTAAACCATTTACTCCTAGAGTTACATTAGCAGGCACTGACCTTGATTTTCTCATCGGTGGCCTTGACGAGCGCCAGCAGTTTGACCAGGTTGCCCTCCTGTTCGGCGAGCGCGTCCATCTCCCGCGTCATCTGGGTCTTGTTGAGCTCTCGGAGCTGGGCGGATAGTGCGGCGATCTCCTCCTCTCGGCGGCTCAGCTCGAGATTCAGCTGCAGAATGTCCTGTTCGGCGCGCGTGCGCTGACACTCAGCCGCCTGGCGCAGCTCCGCGTGATCACTCTGGGAGGGGGGCAGGTCAGGTCAATTCAGTTCAGGTCATGTAGGTTAGTAAGAAAAGAGGAGGGGTCGAATCACAACGAATAGTCCAGTTCGGTGAGGATTGGTTTTGAATATGAGTCACTGTTGGATTTCTGGTAGCTGTTATTAGAGCCCTTCTTGTGAACGGTAAATAAGTCGGTCATGAGTGTGGCTTATCGAAAAGCTCCTGGTCTCCTGGTTGTCTCCATGTTGCACGGAACCCTCACCTGAAGCTTGTCGAGCTGCTCCCTCAGCTGGCACGACATCGCCTCGTTCTCGTTAATCTGCAGATTGGCCTGAGATAGCTGGGTCCGCAGCTTTCCCACCTGGAGCATGGATATGGAGCGCTGATTAGACCGAACCTGGGCAGCACCTTTTTAGCGTACAGCTGCCCAAAAATACTACTTAGCAAGGCTTACATAAACCGAGCTTTATCAAGGACTGGAAATATGAAAGCATATCTATAGTCTGCACTGGTACTGCAGCTGTTATATCCTGTTCCTTGCATGTCAATCAATATTGCTGCTACCGTCCCTATCCGACGATCTATGCCTGTTTTGACAAAACGTTCTCGTGCTGCAACACTGCATTCACCCTGTGCAATCTTGCACATATATGCACGTCTCATGTCGTGTGCACCCACGGCCAGTTGCAGGTAGCCAGAACTGAGACTCTGCCGACCACTTAGTCAAGTCACTCGCCGCTCTGCACGGAATTATATCAATGCTGACTGCTGAGTGTTCTTACCTCTGCGCTGCGCTGTTCATCGGCCGGTCCGAAGTTGCCGGCACCGTCAGCGGGCGCCGCGCCGCCGTGCTGCAGCTCCTGCTGGAGCTGCTCGTGCTGGCGCAGCGCCTGCTGCAGCTCGCGGCGCAGCTGCGCGCGCTCTTCGGTACCGGCCACCTCCTGGAGCTGCATCTCGACCAGCACGGCCTGCAGCGACTCGAGCTCGCGCTGCCGGCAGTCCACCTGCTCGCCCAGGCGGCGCTCCCTGCGCGGACAAGGTGGGTAACGGCGTCAACATTGACGAACATCGCACTTCTCGGGTTGTCAGGAGTCAAACGGGAAGATGCGTGGATGGATTGGCTGTCATGATGAGCACCGCATTATCTAATGATTGCTCCCTTGCGTTGCATTGACCTAGACCTAGAATACGACTAAGCGCTTGAATCTGTATAAGACAGCGCTCACCAGCGCTTACCCTCCCCTTACCCCTTTGCCACTCACTTGAGTGCAAACTGCTCCCTGCCGTCGCTGAGCTGCTCGTTGAGCGCCTGCTCGGCTTGTTCCAGCTCCTCCACTCGAGCGCGCAGCCGCTGTTCGCTGCGCTGCAGCTCAGTGACGCGCTGCTGCAGCGCCGCGAGCGCAGCCGGCTGCTCGGCGGCTGCCGCCAGCTGGCTGCGCGCCGAGTCCAGCTCGCGCAGCAGCTCCTCCTGGTCGCGCAGCTCGATGCGCAGCTGTTCGGCGGCGCGCTGCTCCTCGCGCAGCTTGATGCTCTGCTCACGCTCCCGCCGCTCCAGACGGTACACCTGAGGTGGGAAGAAGATGGCGGCTGTGATCACTTAAATACGAGTGGTCAGGGTAATTTCAATGCATTGACCATGCCTGAAGACGTCTGAATGTGAGATTTTTTTTCTACTGGCTAGAAGGTATATCAAGTCCTTCCAGTGCAGGAAGTTTTTAGAGTACACGACAAATTGCTTCGTGTGACTTTGTAGTACCGTGCAAGATGTGATACCACAAAATGAGCCATATCTATAACGGTAACAAGAAATAAGTTACGTGTGCAACGTCTGCAAACCCTGCAAGTTGCACCTGCTTTTAGTCATGCTTTTTATCAGACAGGTGTCCCAAACTTACCTTATCCTTGAGCTTGAGGTCTTCGTTTTCGGTCTCGATGAGCTTGTCCAGCAGCTCGGCCACCCTCTGCTGGTCCCGTTTGCCTGACCCGGTGTACAGCGCCTGCTTCAGCTTCTCTTCTGTACCCTCCATGAAGTTGATGCGGTTCTTGCTCTCTCGTAGCTGGTTCTCCAGTTCCTCGATGTTCTTCTGGTAGCGCATTTCGACGCTGTGCATGATTCGGTCGGCCTCCTCCAGGGTCTCGCGGTAGGCGCCCTCCTTTTTCTCCAGGTCTGCGCAGTGCGCGGCCAGCTGCTGCTCGCGATGCCGGGTCTCTCTGACGGCCCGAAGCAGCGCCGGGCCAGACTCAGCAACTGTCTCGTCAGTTCCGGTGCTGTTGAGCTCGAACTCGGCACTGAGTTCGTCCTGCAGATGCCGCGCAGCCGCCAGCTGCCGCTGAAGCTCGCTCTGTTCACTCCGCAGTGTCTGCAGCTGTCGCTCGTGCTGTCGCACCAGCGTCTGACGCGTCTCCTCGAAGGAACCTAGCTGAGCACCGAGTTCCGTTTGCAGCAGTGCCACCTGACGCGTCAGAGATTCATCATGATGAGAGTCGTCTTCGGCGTGGGAGTCACGTCGAGAGGCTGCGTGTCCCTCACCGGGAACTCCGCCCTGCTGGGCCTCGAGCAGCTGGAGCGCTGCGGCGAGGTAGCGCTCCTGGTCGGCACCAGCGATGGTCAGCAGCGAGTTACCGGCCGAAGCTGTGGTTGACAGACCGCCGAGCTCCCGGAGCACTTCGCGACTCATCTCCCGGCTACACTGACTGCACCGCACAGGTTCGTCGGTCGATGAGAGTCGGCTCTCGGGTCTCGTGTCGCTGGGGACACGGGTGCGTCCGGTGTCGGACAGCGCGTGCGGTGACGGAGGTGCCGGGGAGATGGCCGTCACGTCAGACGCATGCGACATGTCCTCGCCGACGCCGCTGTCGCTGAACGTGGAGGACTTCTCGGTGTGCGAGACTGCCGTCAGAGGTGACACACACTCCTCGCGAACCCGGTCCTCGCCGGCGCTGGGCTCCGGACTGACGGTCGACGGCGACTCTCCCTCGGCGGGCAGGCGCGCTCCGGCGTCCACCACCACGACGGACACATTCTCTGGCCGCTTCTCGACGCTGGCGTGGCCGCGCTCCTGCTCTAGCTCCCGCTTCAGCTCCTCCACCTCTGTCTGCAGTCGGTGGACGAGCTGGGCGTTCTGGGATCCGGAGCTCTCCGAGTCGGCCTGACGGGCCCTCAGCGCCGCCTGGTGCTTCAGACGGACGCTGTTCAGCTGCCGCTGGAGCTGCGAGCAGCGCTCCTGCTCCTCGGCCAGCTCGGAGCTCAGCATCCGCTCCACCTCGCCGGCGGTGAAGATCTGGACCTCCTGACTGCAAACGGGAAACAGACAGCATTCAGTGCGGGGTCGTAGCACGGGGTCTTACGTGACACTGGGCAGTGGCCAGTGGCCTTGAATTTACCGCGCAGATATCGAAGCACTCCGGAATGCTAAAATCAATAGCCAGGCTGTAAGCATTAACCTTGACCTTTCGTGGACATGTGGAGTAATGAGCTCGGCTGAACCTTAATGCTAACATTTGTAGACTAGCAGCAGTAGGTTAAATATTCTAGGAAATAACTGTACTCTGTCAGCAAATACAGTTGGACTTAATTCCGTATTATAACGCGTCGTGTATGTACACTGGGGATTAGGCCGGGCCGGAAATCGAGCGCCGTGGACCATCTGATAACGCTGCAGTGCACACCCACTTCCAGTACCCGTTCAATGACTCACCGCTGCACCATCAGGCGCGCGTCATTCTCCGCCTCCTCGAGCTCGTTCTTTTGCTCCTCCAGAGCGTCGCAGCTCTTCTTCAGCTGGTCGTACTTGTCGGTGAGCTCCTGCAGCTCGCGCGTGAGCTGGTCGTGAGAGCACTCGGTCTGAACCTCGGCGGAGGCCAGCGCAGGTGGAGAGGCGGCGGAGGTCTTAGACGCAGGTGACGGCTGTTTCGCCGGAGGAGAAGGTGACTGCTGGAGGTGTTGTTGGACGCTGGCGAGCCGAGCTACCTCGCTGCTGAGGTCTCCTGGCTCGGGACTGGTCTCTGCACTACCGGGAGGAGTCGCCAGATCTGTCTCCTCACAGACACCCAGCCTGCTCCCGGGCTCTGCTTTGTCACCGCTCGCCATCACGGCCGCGTTCGCACCACTCTCCTGAACGTCAGCACCTTCATCGGCCACCCGTCCGACGGCCATGGCACTACCACACGCCGCGCACTGTAGCCGCTCACCACCGGCGTCTGTCTGAACACCCGTCTCGGCACTGTCACCTCGCTCTGCGACCTCCGGCACTCGTCCACACGTGGGGCACTTCTCTCCACCTTCACCTACCGCCGGCTCTGTCTGACAGGACTGAGTCACTGACGGCAGCCGGTCGGCCGGCCGTGCCTTGCTGTCACCCCCGGAGACCCGCTGGATGCCTCCCGACTCCGATCCGGGAGGGCTCGGGGACGGAGGGACTCCAGCCGACTCCAGCGCCGACTCCAGCTCCAGAATGTGACCCTGCAGCGAGGCGATCTTCTGTCGAAAACACGGAAACGAGAGATCAGATCAGTATGTCGTTTCCGGGCGCTGGAGATTAGGTAAGGTGCGGACATGGTGAGATTGGCGATAAAAACGAGTTGCGGTGTTTGTAACATGTGCGTCATAGGAACGGGTTACGACATATACGTACGCTGTGCTGCAGGAAATGAGCTGTTCCGTTTTTGTTTGGTTTGCGAAGTGGTATTGTGCGACTTCATAAGGCCTCATTAGTGTGTTCTATCGCAGTTTTGGCTTCCTTATGCCTGCAAATATTAGTAGTGCGCAATAATTAAGCACGACGCATGGGACTCGCTACTTCATCTACAATTGAATCAGCTGGATACCGAACACAGCAATGGCACTGATTTTATATTTCGACGCACCGCAGTAGCAGCGACACATTCCTGCGGGGTGTGGGCATTGTCTGAGCCGGGCTGTGTCGGAAATTTCCTCCTTGTGTGGGTCACACGTCATCACCAAGCTGTTTTCTGCAGAATACTGGCGCGAGTGCCGCACCTTAGCACTGGCACTGCTGCAGTTCGAGGGCTCTGAATGAACCAGTGTTGCTGAGGTGGCTTGATTGTTATTTAGGCTATACTTCAGTGTTCTACTTTGAGACCTTTTTAATAGCTTTGTAAAGCATATCAGGTTGTGGACACCCCTGATGTACTATTGACACGTCGATGCACTTAGGTTCTCGCGTCAGACGTCATTGCATTTTACTCGAATCGCCGCTTTACCAAACTCTCCACAGTCCACATATACCGCCCAAAGCTATTACACTTAACACTCTTAGCTTTAACCCACGAGCCGCTGGGGGGGGGGGGGGGGGGCATAAAGTTGCCCCCCTTTACGTTTTGTGAAATATCTCCAAAACCTGATGAGCTACGAACGTGAAACTTGGCATAGCTTCAAATGAATACCTAGGCAATGTTTGAGCAAAGTTTGGTGGTTGTAGCACCTAAGATGACGTCACAGTGACGTCATAAAGTTTTGTCGTTTTCCGATACGGACCGTTTCTGATGACGCTGAGCATGAAACTCAACTGTAAATGAACTAGACAGCACCTGCTGTCATCCTAAAACATCTAACTACACCTCCATCTAGTTTCTGACCAATAATCGGCCCTTTATATTCGGTCCCATATATCTGATGTATCGTGAGGAATATGAGAGTCGCAAATCTATAACTTCACTTATGACGTCACTGTGACGTCATTTCAAATGGGATCGACACTAAATTTGGACACAACCTCGGCTAGGTATTCAGGAAGATGTGTGCAAAGTTTCGCTTCTCTATCTCTTCGCGTTGCGACGATATCGTCGCAGAAGTAAAGGGGGGGCAACTATATGCCCCCCCCCCCCCAGCGGCCGGCGGGTGGCGCGGAGGCCCAGCGGCCGCCGGGTTAACAGTTGCACACCACGGCTCTAAGCTAATCCACTCGCTCGTACAGCCCTACCAAACCCGCACATGTCACCGTCAAACCGTGGCTTTACGCTGGCCGCTGCCATACCACTCATTGCACACCAGTGCATGCTGTGCAGTTTGCAACACTCGAACCGGAGTGCTTACAGCGCAACACTGGGGGCACGCCGTGCGCAGCGCACCGTTTCCACGGGACAAGGCCAGCCTCCAGCCGGCCTGTCGGAGCGCTGGGAATTCGGAACGCGCCACGGAGCACCGGGCGGAGCTCCGGGCGGAGCACCGGGACGGAGCACCAGCGCGGGTCTCAGGGTCGGCCTCGTATCGACCTCGGACGGGCCGGCGGCGGCAGTAGAGCGCAACACACACCGCCCTGCGCCGCAGCGAGGGTGGCCGTGACAGACGGGACGGGACGGGACGGGACGGGACGGGACGGGACGGGACGGGACGGGACGGGACGGGACGGGACGGGACGGGACGGGACGGGACGGGACGGGACGGGACGGGACGGGACGGGAAGGGAAGGGAAGGGAAGGGAAGGGAAGGGAAGGGAAGAGAAGGGAAGGGAAGGGACGCGACGGGACGCGACGGGACGAGACGGGACGAGACAGGACGGGACGGGACGGGACGGGACGGGACGGGACGGGACGGGACGGGACGGGATGGGAGGGTACGAGGCAGGACGGGTGCAGTAAAAGACCGGGGGCCGTTAGTTGGGTCTGTATGGATCTATGCTTGTAAGGAACTCTTTGTAGGTTTATGGCCTGTCCATTGTCTATCGATGATAGCAACTAGCAAGGGACCTTTCTTAGAAACGCTATAAGTCTGGTGCGTTGAGTACTTTGCTTTTTGACGATGTGGTAGATAACATTGGAAGAACGTTGATTGAAAATGTTAAAATCCGATATCACACGATGCTTGGTTACTACGGCTGTGGTTTTTCATTGGTACTGCGAAATGCAGTGCATTGGTGTAAACTATAACTAAATAGTACTTATAGTACTTTTACTGGGACACGACCCAACTTACATCGTTTGGTTGGGACATGACACAAACAACTTCGAAGGAACGCATGATGGCGTACACTAAGCGCACATGAAACAAAGCTGGTGACCGCAATTGAGCACAAACTGCGTGAAAGCTTTACACTGAACAAAGACCTCCGGTTTCACGAGCAGAAACGCCCACAATGGACGTTATGTAAACAGATCATTACCTGACAAACCGATGCGATCGACGCCATATCTCAAATACTCACATTTCGTGCTTTATCCGGATTTATCATTGCTCGGAAACTCACAGTAGCGCACTCATGTCTCACGTCTTCAGAAATTCACACGTTCACTCTCACATCCTGTTCGACCCACTGTGCACAGCTGCACTGCATTCTGTGCACAGCACACTGCGTGCATTGTGCACCACACAGCGTTCACGGCGGAGGCGGCGGGTCGACTGTCCCACGGTACGTACCAGACCCTCACGGCGGCGGCCCCGACCCTGGGCATATACATTCATACGGCGCATACGCCGGCGGTCACGACGGCTGGGTGGAAGGGGTGCGCCGGGCTGTAGTCACACCGGATGTTGGTACTTTGGGTGGGGAAGGAACGGTGTGTTACTGGGCGTACTAGATTTGTTGGATAGCTTATGGGACAGCTCATGGGACCGTGGAACAGTGTATGGAGCATTGTGGGATTTTGGGAAGGTTATAGGGCGAATTGGATTAGTTCGGAAGGTAATGGAACCATGCTGAGACTGTCTTGACAGTTAATGGAGCAAGGTATGGTCCGCAGATAGTAAAAACAACGCAAAAAGACGTATTTTGAAAACGTGGACAGGCAGTGCGTGGGAGGTATCGTGCCTACAGCAACGTATGTATATCAGTTTAAAGGTAGTGTGCCAGCTTTCTTGGACCGTATGGACTCAGGCCCAGATAAGGAGAACCGGATTTTTAGAACTTATCCATACCTTCAAAACTCATGGAAACGTCTTAAATTCTTCAAATTTTGAGTACCCCAGTGCGAAATTCGCCCCGACGGGTTGTCGGTCGTACCCCAACCACATTTCACACCACTATGAACAATAAATGCACACACTGAAATCGCTATTACCGATATGCTCATCCAATCAAGTTTCGATAAACCCGTTCATCATCATCTCCTGCGGTTTCGAACACGCCTGTTAGGTGGCTTCTGATGCTCGTCGAGGTCGGAATTTCCAAATACGCGTGGTGCGTCGGGCCGCGCGCTCTGACTTCGGCCAAGAAAAATGCGTCAGCTGATCATTGTCATTTCTGCCACTTGCGTGTGGTGAAATGGGGTCATAACTTATAAGACGGCTTTTTCATATCAATTATTTTACATAAAATCATATTTCAAACCATAAATAATGTTCGACAGCCAAATAAAAGAAACAATACCAATACGGGCTTACAGTTTAAGGCTCGACATTGTGTTGTCTACGATTAGACAGCTGATAACTCATTCCCGTACGTCGTATGGTCGTAACAACACTATAATGACCTTTGCTTATTGTCACAAGTGCGCCGCATTCGCGATTGTTGCCCGACGCCTGTTTGCAGGTGAGCCCACTACAGTTGTTATACATATCTAAAAACCGAAAAACTTTTAGGCGAAAAAGGCACTATTCCAGGCCCATTTTTGATTTTTTTTTGCGATATTAGGTAAAAACAGAAGCTTCTTATCCTAGGAAAAATAAAATGGGAAATCTTTCAAAGGTGGCACACTACCTTTAAATTTACTCCACTTTTTTACTCCACAAAGCGCCCTGCGATGTTTGTTTCAATGGCCCCGCCCCAGCATCCTTGCTCCCAGATTCCTTCTCGACTGGATCCTTTACCACACTCCGAAGAGCTCGGTTCCGGGAGAACCCTGGCGTGGCTTCGGGGTTGGCTTTCGGTGGAGTGGCGGCTGGCGCCTGGTGTCGCCGGAGCGTGGCCCGCCCTTGTGGCTCTGTCTCGCGTTCCTCTGCCGCCGCCGGGCGTCGGATGGGCTCCGCCTGTCTAGCAGCCGCCTGCAGTTTAAGAAGCCTGTGTGGGACAGGGTTTGGGCGATAGGCTGAGTGATATGCAACCGCATGTATTTCGTTGCCGTGTTTCTGTTCACCATGTTGATTATTGTTTCTGTCCTGTTAATTTCGTGCAATAAATTTCCCGCTACAAAAAAAAAATAATAAAAAATTACTCCACTACTTCAAACCTAACTGCAAGTGATCGAGCCACCGCGTCACACAGCGAGCCCTCAGGAGTGTCCGCAGGGGATCTCACGTCCCTGTTGGGAACTGGGAAACAGGAATTTGACGCTGGGAGACGTGTTAGGTCAATGGGAGGCGAGATTGGATCGGTGAAAGACAATTAGGTGAGATACAATATAGGTCGCTATGAGGCATGATCGGGTGGTCGTGAGTCAGGGTGAGCCGAGGCGAGGCGAGTTCAGGTCCGTGAGGGTGAGCCCGGCACTGCTCCAAACCACACAGTGTGGCCGCTGGCCCTCCGCCCAGCCCAGTCCGTCCGTCCCTCCGGCTGACGGTCCATGCCACTCTCACCGTCATTAAATTATCATGCAGCGCCGGCAGTGTCCCATCCACCGCTGAAGTTGCATTGTAGTCGCCACTGAGCGTTTATGGCACATTTTCACCGGCCGTATACATGGTAATAAGTGCCACGGTACATTCACACGCTCAAAATGCCGCACGTCATGTCTCTCATCGTTTTCTACCGTGGGCTGCTCCGAGCGCGCGGGCAGTTTTCAGTTTCACAGCCGGTGCTACTGCGCATGTGCATCGTACAATTTCACTCACATGTTAACCTTTCCCGTTATAAGGCACGATTATTGGGTGGAACAAAAAAAGACAACAACAATAGGCTGAATCGACCTGCCAAAGAGGCCCTACCCAACCACTACGTCACCACTCGCCGGTTTTACACGTCGCCGGATCACGGAAAACGCGGCTTATTTACCAAATGTTGCAAAAACGTGAACAAAGGAATTAAGTACATCGGGGGCCACTACGAACGAATTAACAACTCGTGAGCATGTGCGGTTTTCCGAGCAGAAAACACGGGAACATCTTTATCGTGCGGTGCCGACGCGATTCGATGGCGATTCGGGCACGATACGCGTGTTCCATCAGTAACATACATGCAATAACAGGAACAAAAGGAACACGAACTTGAGACACGAACCATACCGAATCAGGACAGTACAGCTTTGAAACTTTGCCACAAACAAAACAACGTAGTTACTGTGGACATTTGACACGACACAAACGGGTACATCATCCTCATGAAAAGCTCTAATTGAAACATGTTGAGTGGGCCAAGCTAGTTTCAGAAACACTTACCTACACTAATTCCACTTTGTTGAAGATGATCACGAAGCTACTTCACGTGACACGGAACGCCTCATCACCAGAAGTCCCTCACATCACGGAGAGAGTCACGGGCTAATCTCTCGCGGGCCCGGTAGCGCCACCGGCACCAGTGTGGGTCCCGCGGCACCGCGCACACAACTGCCGCGCACCGCTGTGCACCGCCGTGCACACAGTGCAATGTCGTGCACCGTGCGAGTCGTGACTGGGCTGGGCCGGGAGGCGGCGGGAGGCGGTCCCCTGACGGTCACCTGGAGCTCTGAGAGCCGCTCCGAAACTATCGCGATACGCCGCGATAGTGCGCCCGCTACTGGCGGCGACACTCACGAGAAAGGTGCACGGAATGTCGCGAGTAGTGAGAAAAATCTGCAGCACTGTGCGCAGCGGCGCAAAGTGCAATACCTAAATCTGGGCCGAGCCGCTGAGCTCAGCACAAAGGTGGGAGGTAGGTGGGCCGACTCGGGCAGAACTCGGCGGCTGCACAAGGAGCTTACGTCGCCAGTTTTGGTGCGGTTAAAGTGACCGCCCCGCCACAAGCAGCAGGCATTGACACATTTACACAGCCACGAACGTGGTGTAGTTTGTGGAAGTATGATGTCACTTTTTGGAAGAAAGGGATTGCAAACATCCGTGTGTTTATGGGCGCTATAAATTTACGGAAAACAATAGACGGGTTTAGATGCGGCAGGTAGGTTTTTTACGGTCGGATAATGAGTGAATACCTTTGGTTATTGTTGCGCAAACCACCCGAACAGCTGCTGCGCCAGTTAAGTGGGGTGTGGTTTACTCCCATGTTACGAATGTGACAATCAGACCTGTGATTCGCTGCATATGACTCACCTGCTGAAGATGCTGGCACTCGGCGGTTGACTCTGGACTCTGACTCGGCGCTGCCGGCTGTTGTTGTTTGCTCTTCTCGCCGAGGTCGCCGGGTGGTCCAGGGGACAGCAGTAGCGGCTCGGCCCGCAGTGTCCCGGAACGGTCAGACTCGCAGCTATTCTGTGCCTGCAGCTGTAGGCTAGCAGCTTCCTCAGGGACCCCCGACACCCTCCACTGCTTCTCCCCCTTCGTCTGCGGCTGACTGTCTCTGCTCTTCCCACTACCCGCCTTCTGTTTGTGCTGTTTGCCGTGTTTGTCCTTTTGTTTGTGTTGTTTGACCTCCACCTCCTTTGCTGTCTGCTGGGTGCGGACCAGGGTGGCGGCTGTCCCGGCCTCCCCGGCTGACGTCCCCGTCTGCAGGCGCTCCTCGACAGCATCGCTCGCCTGCGAACCAGACGAACCGATCGTTAGAAACACGGCTTCGGACAACTCCAGAAACACGGTGCGTCAGGTTCCAGAGTTGTGTAACAGTGCGTGTGAGCTGCAGTGGGGCAGCGGGAGACCATCTGTCGTGCGCACACCGCCGCGACCACCGAGCGGCTTCACAACGGTGGACGGTTGGGAGGGAAGGATCGTGACAGAAGGTGACGAAATGTGACGATCGGTGGGGTGGGAAGTGACGGGAAGTGATGCGAAGTGACGGTTGAGGAGATGTGAGCGATGATGAGGTGCGGCAGCTGACGGAAACGCTAGGTGACAAAAGTTGACTATCACAGGGGTGCATGATGCGAGGGAAGATAACAATACGTGACGAGAGGTGTCGATTTGTCCTCCGTTCCGCCGTTTCCATCCTCAGGATAGTGAAATCCTTCTACATGCGTCCACCCCCTGTTCCGGGCTGGACGGGCAGCTTGCGGGTATGGGATCCACAAGCGGAGGTCTTGGCACATAAAGTTACAAATTTGTGAGGTAGACTTTCTGGAACTTAACGAGCCGTTTATGAGCCCTGGAGCTCCCATGCGGGCAGCTCCATCGGAGCACATGCCCGTATAGCCGGGTGCAGTGAGTGAGTGCTCAGGGTTCCTGGGCGGCCTGTCCACTGGATGGGCTCAGCCCCGACGACTCACCAGAGTGTCCGCTCAGAGAAATGTCTCCCCCCTCATTCATCATCCTCCCCCGAAAGAGCCTAACCCAGCAAGACAAACGAAAAAAAAAACAAAGTCGGTTAGTGGAATGAAAGGTAACGGAAGTTGGTATCTTTAAATCGCGGAGGAACGTGCATATGACATGGTTGAAGAATACCTAACAATGGCAGCCCGGCATAAACGGTAAACTGTTTTCATCTGCCTGCAACTGTTTTGAATAGATGAGTGCGGATTACAAAATGAATGCTTTCGTGCAAACAGCTTTCCCTAGAAACGCACGGTAGGCTAAACTTTCATGAACCGGAACACAAAAAGAGAAGAAGAAACTCAGTGAAATGTCAACTCTTTAGGATAAACTGCATTTATACGCCCAGAAAGTTACATAAACTAAGTAATTTCACTTTATGTTTCACTAGACACGGTACATTGTCGTCACGATTGCAGAAACAATATTTATATAGTTCATGGCGCTGTTCGGTGATACCAGATTTTCTAGTAGAAGCATGAAACATAGCTGAAACAAAGCATAAAACATGAAACACATCAAACAAGTTATCGCTACTAATTACCACCGTTATGCTGATTTGTGGTTTTAAGGACTCACCAAGTTTAGCCGTTTAGGACTTAATTAGTTTCAGTTGAATTAGCTCCCAAGCCCCAGTTACAACTTTAGCACATTGGTTATTGCATACCTTGAGGCAGCTCTCTCATCGACCTGACCAAAGTTCCACCAGCTGTCCTTGTAAGAAGCTCATAAAAATCCAGAAAGTCGGTCACAAAAACTTTAACTTTCTGCGCTACTCATGGATCCCATACCTGACGACTGCTCCTCCGCCAGGCCTTTTCCAGGGCACACAAAGGCCCACCACAGTAGGGCCGTTTTTGCTCGTGCGCACATTAGGCTATTAGTGCACCTGCTGCGCCTTAATTGCCGTAATGCCGCCGAAAAGCGCCGCTTTTCGTCTCGGGTACCGTGTGAGTCTCCGCGCAGCCTGGGAATGGAGTGCGTAACGGCGCGGAGGCCTGTCGAAATTTGATAACGGAAACGACCATTTGCTTTGTTACGGTAGCTGCCAATATCATTTGTCTCATTCGCGATATTTCATGGGCAATCAATGGTCTTAATGGTTGGCTAATTTTAATATTTTGTTCTATCATAGATAACCTGGAACATGATTCATGTTATCGATGGTTATATATGTATATGCACCTGTTTGGTGAAAATTAAACATCGGCCTCGTTGGCAACTTGATGATAATTTTTGACAAATAAAATTATCAAAGTTGATATGTCCTTCGAGTCCTCGGTTTAATTTGCACTTCAATAAGTAGCACATGTTGTTGGCGTGTCTCCCTATATCGCTTTCGTTAGCAGCAACATGTTCTGCTATTCAAAATGTTCTGCATCATTTATCGTACATGCTCCCGTGAATTGCGTCAGTCTCATCTTATTATCACGAACATTAGAGCGTCAGCGACAATCGTATACGGTAGAAATAGATTGGCACGTGTGCTCCGTTGGCTAACGAACTGGGACTACCGCTTGTCCGTGTTGTCATAAACCGTACCACCAGCCGCAAAACGAGCCACGACAGTCACAACTGGAACATGAAACGGCTATTTGACGAGGCTCGACCCAGTTGCAAAATGGACAACCCTTATCAAGAGGGTTCGCGTGCCTTTGGCTCGTGGGTCGTTTATAAGATCTGATACCACATTGTTTGGCGCTACACTTACTGCTTTGGGTTTACAGTGGTCGAAGTGGGCTGTGAGCACACATGTGGGCTTTAACCCGCGAGTTGCTGGGGGGGGGGGGGCGTTAAACGCCCCCACTTCTTTCGCCGGGCCATAGCATAAAAACGGCGCGCCGCAGGCGCGCCAAATTCTGGGTACCTGTAGGGAATTAATTGAAGTGTATTGTGACAAAGTTTCAAAAAAATCGGTCGGAAATTTTTTTGAGATATCGAGATTTTAGTTACGTCATGATTTCTGAGTTTTCGACAAAAAACGGCATATGTTCAAAAAATCATATAAAATCACAGAATAGACATACAGACATGCCGTAAACGCCATTAGACTGCCAATACCATGAACAATCAAATGGCTATCTTCGATTATTGATTATCGATCCGCATTTTCCAAAATCTTGAACTGAATCTTGGCAATTTCTCGTGACTACTTCACAACCATGATACATGCATTTCTTAAATTGAACTTTTTGAGCCAAACACGTACACATATGACAAAATGAATGTCACCATCGTGTTCTACGCCCCAAATTACCCATAAAACATGTGTCACAGGCTGCGAATATCAGTTTTGATTTTCGGGGATATGTGCCTACCCGGTTGACCTGACCTTGACCCTGACCTATGCTTGACTGACCCCTACATGGAGCTGACACTCTTGTAGGCCTTATATGATGGATTGTGCACCGTTTTGACAGAGTTTATGACGAGAGCCGCCCATTGCTAAGTCCTGAAGTCCATGCCACTGAAAGCCCGATTTCAGGTGTTTGACCTGACCTTGACCTGACCTGTGACCTCAAAATTCAACTTTAAAGTACTCATCTGAAGCGTCTCGTCGCGTTCTTTCGTTTGCCGCCTCGTGCGTTTCGCTGCGCCTATTGGTTCTCGAGTTATCGGCTGGGGGCGTTTAACGCCCCCCCCCCCCAGCAAACGGTGGGTGGCGAAATACCCCAGCAACTGCCGGGTTAATTTACTGCCGCCTCTAACACAACCCCGAGTTATTATCTGTAACTATCGCCCGAAACCCTGACCTTACCAACCGATCATGAAATTACGAGTTCACATTGTAATTTGATGTCAAAACCCACGCGCCGGACTGAATCCATGCCGAGTGTTTTCTTGCTGGGAACGTGCGACCTTGGCTGCTCCCGCCCGCGACCCGTAGGTCATTTCATCCAGGGTCAGAGCGGATCACGCCGATCGCAGCCCACCCGGAACCAGCGGCTCCCCGGGTTTCCCGACACAACCACCTCGCATCCGTGATGGTGGACAGTGACTTCACATGTTTAACGCCCGGGCGTGAGATTAGGGCGGGGCCAATGTTTGTTGTGGGACCGTCACCGATCGAGTGGCGGTTCTTGTGCTCGGCTGAGCTGAGGTATGGTGGTTCGGCGGAGTCCGCCAGCCCACGTTGGGATGACAAAGTAACCACAGCTTCACGGTGGAGTAGCGCAGGGAAGGCTATCATAGCGTTAGCCGTGGACGTCAGACGGTCGTCGTAAGTCGTAACTGGACATAACCGACGTCATTCCGTCTGCTTCTACTAAAGGGACAGTGTGTTCATTGGTGGTGCCACAATTCAATATGTCAGGCGGAGACCGCAGCACGCGACAGAACGTACTGCGGTCTCCGCCATTATATGTATGTGTGGGACACTTTGAAGATACGTCGCCTGCACCGTTCCTTGCTTCTATCCTCAGGAAACTGAAATCCTTCTCCTCCACGCCGCTACCCCCTCCGGGCTGGACAGGCAACTTTATCTCATGCGGGCTGCTCCCTTGGAGCGGCACCGCTGCTCCCGAGGGAGCGCACCCCGTAGCCGGGTGCAGTGAGTGCCTTGGGGCTGGGTGGCCTGTCCTATGGACGGGCTCAGCCCCGGCGACTCACTAGGGTGCCTGCCCAGACTAATGTCTCCCCCTACATCCTATCATCCTCCCGGCTCTGAAATGGTCTAATTGGACCGAAAGGGCCTAACCCAACAAAACAAAAAACAAAGCGTCGCCCTGCTATCATACAAATTGCCGATTGTGCTATTTTGTTTTTCATTTCTAAGCCGTTCTCTTCTTTGTAGCATTAGGCGATGTTTATCAATATCTAGTGCACCAAACATTTTGCCAGTTGGCATTTGAAAATATTTCGGCATCAATTTTCTATATTCATTTCTTGGAGACGAGCCATCGCTGTTTCTCTTACAATCTGCACCAACAGCTGCTCTGACTACTAACGGCCTGTCCGTCCCATACCGTGCACATAACTACCATGCCAACCGCTGCTCGCTCCGTGTTTCGCACGGCTCAGTGATGCTGACACGGGTCCGTCGCGGTCACTTCCAGGAGTCTCCCCATGCCGGCTGCCGCCGCCACCGATCAGCCCCTGATACACCGCGGTCGTGCACGAACCGCGTCCACCGACAACGCCTTCGGAGAACGCCGGCGATTCGTGACACCGTGATGGACAGGATTTGTGTACGACGTCGCCCCGCGATGCATGGCGGCCGGACGGACGGCCGTTTACCTCGTGTTTTGCCCGGCGCCCTTCGCGTAACGGTCGCG